AATTGGATTTAAATGCTTTCTAAAGTGGTTTTTAGTTTCAAAGGCTCTTAGTTTCATTCTCTATTGTGCCTTTAAATACCACGTTTTTTTCTCCGTGAGGGGTATTTTAGATTGTTGGCAATGAATTACAAAAATGTCAATTGTCCTCTAAGTTATCACTGATATTTCCTATTTGTTAAGAACAATTATATGCTACCTTCTTTTCTTAGCTTCTAGTCCATGAGGTAATTTAATTGCATGGCTGATCAACCTAAGAATATAGAGTAAGGCAGCATTACATATTTTTTATACTCTTCAAGTCCAAAGAAAAAAATTATGACTTTGTCATTTAAAAGTGTCTCCTTAAACACAGTCCAGGGAAGCATTTTCAAGGGAGATTTCAGATACTTTGCTGAAAATGAAGGGTCTTGTATTCTAAAATCTATCATGTACCCTGAAGATTCTTATGTACTTTTAGAGGTATTGGCTATAGGAAATAATTTCAATCTTAATTAGAAATAATTTTTATAATTTACTGAAAAATTTGGCAATGAACTGAACATTAATCTGGAGTAAGTAAATGTACTAAATTGGAGGCTTTGAAAGATGCATATTAAACAAAAAATAGCAAAAAAATCCTTCTGCATAGCTACACAACAGTCCTGGATCCTTAAATTAAAACTTTACAGTCTTTTAAAAATGTACTCAAATCCTTAAACTAACTGCATAGAAAATGATGGCCTGAAACAATCCAGAGTCAAGCTCAGGGTATCAGAAGGCACACCAAGGCACTTACAGCTCCGTGTGTGTTAATGAGAAGTGACTGATGTACCAACTGTTGCTATCCACTCTGGCTAAATGTACCCATCTGAATTTTCCCACTTTTAAATCTTCCGACACAAAAGCCCAAGTCCAGATATGGAATAGTAAAGTCTTAATAACAAGAGAGCTAAACTGTCATAAAACAGGACTGATATAGGGGATGGGGGGAAAGACTGAGAAAGAGGGGATAAATAATGTATACTGCATTGAAACAGAGGGAGAAAACTATTTAAAAGGGGTATGTGATTAGGTATTAGTCTCATGACAGGAGTCCAGAACGAAGGCTGCATAGTGGAGTGGACCTGGGGGGAGGGACTGTAAAACAAACTTTTACTTTTCAAATAGAAGGATGGGGGGGAGAGGGGAGGGGTGGGCAGGGAGAAAAGTGCAACAATGAATAAATGGTAATCCAAATTTTCATTAAAAGTCATAATTAAAAATAAAATGTTGAAAAATGACACAGTAGATATTTTGAATTTTGTACTGTTATGTGCCATCTAGTCGTTTGCGACTCATAGCGACCCTATGTGCAACAGCCAGCCCTAAACCCTGCTCTATTGTGTGCCAATCGCACTGTCTCTGACACACCCATCCTGATTTCCCCAGTCACTGAATCAATCCACCTCATAGAGGGTCTTCCCCTCCTGCGCTGTCCCTCCACCCTACCAAGCATGATGTCCCTCTTAGCACATAAACATGGAATAGCCATTTGGAAAATTACTTTCAGAAATTTACTCCACGGGCAGACCTCACTAGGTGGTGCCTTTCCTCTACTTTCATTTTCCAGTTTGCTTTTCCCACTCTGACTGAAAAGTGAAATATCATTAAGCCTCATATTTTTTAAAACTAGGGTTTTAACTGCCTTATCCAATTTAAATAAGTAGTCTTCAAGGATATAGAAGATGCAGTGGGATTCCTCCCCCCTCCCTTAGCATTCTGGTTACAACTAGAAAAGTATAGACTGTGATTTTTACTGGTGGGTTTTTTTCCCTTGTCTTATATACCGTCAAACCAGATCTGACTAGCACAGACTGACCCTCTTTCTCCAGTGGAGCATCTGGTGGATTTGAACCATGTGACTTTGGGATTCCAGCACAGCTTCTTGCCACTAGGCCACCAGATCTCAGCGTGCTATTTTTAGAGCAGACTGCACATTCACCCTTTTTCTGAGATCCCAGCCACAGGCATTCCAGTATTACTTTTTTAGGGTTAAGGAGTAGTTAGCCTCCCTAGCAACAAGCAGTTACATGCTCACTGCAAATGTTCTTTCTAGCTATACTGAGTTTCTGAGTAGTTTCTCAACTGTCCCAGCTGTTATATCTTACATCTTGAGAGACTATTTCAAAACCATAAAGAAAATTATTAAACTCCATGTATTTTGCCTGCTCTCCCAATTCATTTGTACTTGATGTAGATTTAAACACTACCACGACAATAGGTTTCTATTTTCGGGAGACTTAGAAAAATTATAAGGCAAAGTAAATTACAAACCTTGCATTTTTAAAGAAAAATAAATTTGAAAACTAGCTAACTCATCTTAGGCAAAATGGTAGTTTGGCAGCTTATTCAGATCAATTCTAGTATTCAAGTGACTGCACCTGGATTTCTATACAGTTTTCCTGTTATAAAGTTATGCTGACTCAGCAATTTTCTCAGGATCTCTGATATGACACAAACTTGTTTGTCCTGGTACTTTTAGGCTCTGTCTTACAAACTGTCAAGAAGGACCAGTCCCTGGAGAAGAACACTGTGCTTAGTAAAGTGGAGGGTCATTGAAAAAAGGAAGCCTCTCAATGACATGCACTGATGTGGTGGCTACAAGAATTCAAACACAGCAGTGACTGTGGGAATGGTACAAGAACACGTCCTTTCATTCTTTTTTCGCTGTTACTTGGAATGGACTCAACAGCACCTAACAACAACATGCAAACTCAGCTCCAGTGGCATAATGGTTAGAAACTTAGCTGCTGAAAGGTGACAGATTCAAACCCTGCAGACACTATACAGGAGAAAATAACAGCCTTGTAATTATGGGACAATTATGCCCTGTCCTACAGGGACAAGACAGAAGAGTTGTGGTGTTGAAGAAGAGTACTGACTATCACATGGGCTGCCAAAAGAACAGGTATGTCTTAGAGAAAGTGCAGCCGGAGTGCTCCTTGGAGGCAAAGATGACAAAGCTTTGTCTCACATACTTTGAGCATGTTGTTAGGAGAGTCTGTTCCTTGGAGAAGGGAATCATGCTTGGAAAGGTAGAGGAAGACCCTTAACCAGACGGATTGACAGTGACTGCTCCAATGGGCTCAGAAAGTGTGAGGTCAGCACAGGATAGCACAGGGCTCACATAACAACTACTCAGGATCACTGTGAGTTGGAATTCAGTTGATGGCCATACGTTTGTCTTTCTGGGCTTATACTTGAATTATAAAATGGTGTAGTATAAGCAAAGCTGGAGCACAGTAGAATGACAAGTCTTTCAACGCTCAGCAGCAGTGAATACAGTATTCAAATGACTTCTCCTTCAAGTTTACATCTGTTTAATGTTCCCCTTTCCCCTTGGGCACTTATTTAACAGTCTTGGAAGAACAAGAGTCTCAGTAAAGAGTTGTTGGCAAATTTAAATAATATATGACAAAAAAAACCAACCCCACAAAGGATGGAGTAAGACTAATAAAATCAAGGAAAGGTGGATCTATATTAACTAAGCATCAGGCATTATTTTTATTAATGGAGAGAAAAAAAGTCAAAATCAGGAGGAAAATTATGCATAGGTTTTACATAAACTATAAATGAAATACTATCACATCATTTTATCTGGGTATCACTTGCATACTACGATAACTTATACTAGAAATCAAAGGAATTCTGTGACAAAAAGAAGGAATCTAATCATTCATTAGAAAATAGAAACGAGGGGAGTTCAATACAATATATCCTCTTAGTACTGCATCATGATTAACCACCCCAAGTCCACAATGAGTAGGTGAAAATGTCATTTATCCCTCAGAACAGGAAGTAGAGAGCCTTCTCAAAATCAAAGATGAAAAAAACTATACGTTCTACTGTCACAAGCAGCAAAGTCAAAGCCAAACTTGAACAGAAAGGTCACTGCTAAAACCTGGTGACCTAAAATGGTGACAGTTAAGAGAGATTCTTTTTTCTGGACTTCAGCTGTATAAAATGATGTCAAATCTTTAGGTCAGGAACAGACAGACCTGTCTTTTCCCTTCCCCCAAAGGTATGAGTTTTCAGATCTGCCTTAGTAATCAGAATGGAAATATCAGACTACACCACCTCAGAATCCACAAGTCTAAAATATACTCAAGTCTTTGTGAATTTATTTGCTTCTTTGGGGGAGGCATTTGCCTGGTCTTGTGTAAAAGGCGGTGACTACTCTTCTGGTGCAACAAAGGCACTGAAGAGATCAAACTGAGCTTGAGTCTTTATTACACAAAACTGGCAAGTTGGATTGATAAAGGCAGCTAATGGCTCAAAAGCAACTGACAGAAGAGACACACAAAAGAACCTTAAATAAAGATCTCAGCTCAGAGAAATGATCATTTCTAGATCAATGTCTAAAGCCATTCAGCGATGAAAAGGCCCAATAGCTATGGTCAAACTCAAAATATACTTTCCTTACAAGTAGAAGTATAGAAGTATTTCATGAATGCAATTAATAGTTAATATACCCAGTCTTTTAAAATACCCAAGATGGAGTATGTAAGTTTTTGTTTAGATGGATTTCAATGTGAGAATATAAAGACAAAGACCGCCACCACCAAGACTAAAGAAATGGTTACTTCCCAACTCATTCTAGGGTTCACCTCTGCCCTCCAAATGTACTAAAGGTCAAATGTGTAAAGGATTATTACCTCATTAACAACCAATTTAAGAAAATGAGACCTTTCTGCAAAATACTAAAACAGACTGAGCTCTTTCCTAGACATTAAATAGTAGAGTATTAGTGTGCATTTCAATAATTTCTAATCTTTTATGAATCTCAGAACCTCTAGTCTGGATTTTTTCCACTCTTGCTGTATTCTGCAAAGTGACTGTAGATAATTTTCACAACCCCACCTTTTAACTGATACACTGTTTTACACCTCAGTTATTTTGTAGAAATAAAAAAAAAGGTTTAAAGAATTACAGATGAAAATACTATACAATGTTAATATTAAATGCTCCCCACCCACTCTCTTGACAAGGGTTGTTTTCTTCAGTTCTAGAATTTCAAATGCTGTAGATTAAATTAGCAGATATTAAATATGACATTCAGGTTCATCTGTTCTTCATCAAAATTTACAGTATCATTTTTCTTTATCCTTAAACGTGAAAAAAAGTTGTTATAGCATAAAAAGGGTATGTGATTTTCAAATATTATGAATGTAAAAATAGTTCCATTTTATTGTAAATTTATTTCATTATCTTTTAATCCAAATGCATTTTAACCTCCTTTTCTACTGGCAATCCAAAAAGCACTATAAGGCACAGCATTGAGCTACCAATTAGAAGTGAATCCGGTCTTAGGAACATGTCCTCAGTTGGACTGAGAATGATGAATGGTTACTACTCCTTTCTAATCCTATTTAACTTGGTGCAATTGAAAATGATCAAAATCAAGGTCATCTTAAATGTGTTTCCTTTCCATTTCAGCTTCTAAATGAAACTGAGCATTTAAAAAGGAAAATAGTGAAGCAGAACGGGTCTCTTTTATGGATCTTTCTTTGTTGGATCCCTAATTTGTACAGCTCTTTTGTAGGCAAGCCAAGAAGTGGTTAAAGGCTAGAAACTTCAGAGCATGTAGTGTACCTACATCAACCAGTCCCCAGCAGCCTCAGTTCAGTGTAACCACTCACAAACTTAGGAAAGGGGCTGGAGGGAAGGAGGGAAACCAATGTCCAAAGTCTCTTCTTTGAATAACTTCCATCTAAGTATCAATCTACGTGCCACAGATACAGTCATTTCCATTACCTGGACCGAAATAGGAGTATGCTGGTATGGACAACAAAAACTAAGAACAAAGAGGAAAAAGACAACATATGTCATCTAACACACAATTACAGTATGTTAACAAAATATGAACTTCCAAGTGGTGTAATCTTCCAGTGCTTGAAAAGCAAGGCCTTTAAGGTTCCATTAATTTTTTTTCTAATAATTACTTTAAATGTGATATCTCCTAAGCCACACAAGAGTAAAATAGAGCATTTATTGATGGAATAACAAAAGTGCTTTTCTTAAATATTCTTCAAAATACATTTGTACAACTTACAATAATATATCCAAAATAACTGTATATACAAAACATTACCTAGTTTTAATGTATGTGCTTTTTTCCCCAAAAATTACAAAGTAACTCCTTTTTCTTTTTTGGCAAAGTTCAACCTTAACAGAGGTGACAATTTTAAAGGTTGGTTTAAGAAAATAGAACCTGAGGGAAATTGACACGCAAGAGTCAATGACAAGCAAGAGATCTGGAGGAATATTTTTAGTTCGTTAAATAAAAATTTTTTTTAGAATGATACTTTTCACATTACAAAAATAAACCAACAAGAAGAAAAAGTCACTGTAAAATGATGGGAAAAGGCGCTCTAGACTTGTTTTCTGTGTTTCAAATAACCAACAATGCATGTCAAAAATGAATGCAAGATAACCACCATCCTGTGTTTACTTTGTTTGGAGAAGAGAATGAACTAAGTGGCCACATTATTTTCTTTTAATTGCTATTAATATGGTTGATCTGATTGGCTCTTCGATGAATTTCATCCAAAAAGTTCTCCAGTTGTTCAATTAACATTCGCTTTTTAAACCTGTATTAAGAAAAATAAGTAATACCACTCTCAATTTGTTTTTAATAAAGTTATATACCAATATGTTAAAAAAAAGTTAAACAGAAAGATTTTTTAAAATAGGAATGAAAAATGAGCATTCTGTTATATATAAAATCTACTGTACGATTAACAAGGTATTAAATTGTGTATTATAAGTCTATACTTAACTAGACTTATGTACAGTGATTATTCCTTTCAAAACCAAAAATAAAAAGGTAAACAAAATAATCTAGTGTATAAAAGGGTTAAAAAGAGTATAATATAGTTGGGACTTGCAAAGCGACTATTCCAATAGCTTCTTTTCACATTCTTTTATAATTGAAAGTAGTATGAACAAAAATAAAATCTATAAAAAGGAATTGGAAACTAGAGTTGGGCTATAACTTTTAATAAGCATACTATTTTAACTGTTTCAACTAGAAAGATTACAAGTCAAAAATAATTAGACAGCTAACAGTATGTAATGGTACACAACAACAGTGTTCAAATGGCAATACAGGAAGCTTTCAAATTAAAATTGCATTTATCTATATAGGTATTCATACTGCTGATGCTATTTAAAATCTAAGAACTCTAGGTAGTCTATACTTATCAGCTATATGAATATCTATTTTATTACACAACTTTTTAAAAGGCAAATGTGAATATAGTGCAGGGACCAGCCATATACACATGAAATGAACAGCACTCAAATATTACCTTTCAAACTGATTTCTAATCATTGATTAATATTAACTGCAGTTCAAATATTTCAAGGAGAGAGAAATTAGAGTCTGTTTCTTAAAAAAGACATTTAAAAGTCCCAGAATAGGATAAATGAGAGTTACAAAAATATCTAATAATCTGCAAAGAGAAAAAGTACACTTGTTTTTAAATGCTGAAGACTGTGTACAGTTAGTTTTTAAGTTCTTTAACTACATGGATGTGTCACATACAATTGCACAGACAATACACTCTACTGTAATAATGACTGTATAAACTGCGGACTCATTCCATAACCTACAGCTGTTTGCTTACCTTGAAGCTTCTTTGATAACATTCTGTAAAAATATTAGCCTTGTTTGTAAACTGCCTTGCACATGCTTGAGTAAAGTGAAAATTCTTTCATATTCTGAAAGCAAGTAAAAAGAAAAATTAGGAGCTTTCATTTGCACTCTTACTCAGTATTCTTCTACTGCAGTATATAAATGCATACAGAGACAAAAGACTATCATCATTTAAGATTTGATAATGTATTTTAACAGATACATGTAAATTAAAAGAAATATCAACAGATACAGTAACCTATCAAGCACAATTTTTATTAAAAGTCCCATTAATAAGGTCTCAATCATAAAGCTTATTTAAAAGGACAAATAAAGACCTTTTTGGTAATACTACCCAAAAAGGAGGCAGAGTCTTGACAAAAATGCATTCTTATCACAATTCTAAACTAGATTTAACAAGGAGGTACGGTACATGGGGAGAAAAACTAGGTTAAGAGTTTTATTTTAGTTTCAAGTTTTTTGCATAAAATTCTGCCAAAGACTTTTTAAGTGACTAAATTCAGATATTGTTCAAGTCCAATACAAAAAAAAAAACACCCACAAAATCGAATCTAGATTCTGATACATACTTTTAATTATTTGATTTTTTTGTTTGACAAAAATAAAATCCAAGGGTTGTCTCTAGTTATACTTACTTCTTCCTGGTTTTCTGATCTCTTTCATTATTTGTGCTTTTAGTTCAGTGTTGATCTCTTCATGGCTTCTGCAATGCATTAATTTCTTTCCTTTGTTGAGTGAAGATGCTGGTACATTCTCTTCAGCACATTGTTCTTTGCCTCTTGGGTCCTCATGATTTTCTAAAAATCCACCAACAGTGATGTCATTAGTTCCCAAATGGTCATGGCTCAGAGCCTCTGTATGGTTGACTGGTCGTTCCAGTAAACTGGCTGGAGAAGATGATGTTGAAAATTCTGGATCCATAGCATTTGGCGTAATGTCTGATGGAAGTTGGTCTGCAACATGATTTTCAACCACATCATCCATTGCTGAATCATTAGGGGTTTCTGAAACTGAAACAAAGAGGGAGAAAATGATGAGAGCCAATTCAAAGTACGCAGTAAAAAATGGTACAAAGGAACATTATATAGGCAAATCACAATCGATTTCCTTAATTAATACAAATATAATGGGATGTGGTCCTTAAGTTTTGTCAAACAAGTTTCACTTTATGTTGCTATTAGGAGTCAAAAATTAAGTACCACTCAAAGCGACCCTATGAACTACAGATCTAAACCCTGTCCTGGCCCATGCCATCTGCTTTGTTTCTGATATCCTTGAGCCCACTGTTGCATCACTATTTCAATCTATCTGGTTCAAGTTCTTCCTTGCTTTTGCTGACCGCTCCAACTCTGCAAGCATGACATCTCTCTCCAAGGAATGTTACTGTTTCTGTTGAGTACCACCAAGTCAGAACCAACCCACTAGCTGACCCTCCAGTGGATTTTCAGAGAATAGGAGGACACTGCCCATCCTTCTTCCCTGAAGGAGCTGGTGGATTCAAAGGCCACTTATGCTCCCTTCTCCAAGGAACAGGTTTTAATTAGAAATTTTCACAATGTATGTAATTTCTCAAAAGCCAGTTTCAACAAGTTTTTAGTCCTCTGGTTTATTCTGTAGCAACTTTATTGAATAAGTGGAGTATTTTTAATTTTGATTTTTATGCTTTAAAATCAGTCACCAAACAGTCAATCCAATTCATGGCAAGATCATGTGTGTCAAGAGCAGAACTATACTCTCTCTATAGGGTTTTCAGTGGCTGAGGATTTTTTTTTCCCCAAAAGGAGGAAAACATTTCTTTCTTTCTTCTGAGAGAGACATTTTTTTTTTCGTCCACAACCTTTATTATCACAGGGCTACTTGAGTGGGATGAAGCGGGAGGAGTGGGTGGCCGTGCTTGACGGGCTTGTAGGTGATGGAGAATTCACCCAGGTAGTGTCCGATCATCTCGGGCTTGATCTCCACCTGGTTGAAGGTCTTGCCGTTGTACACGCCCACCATGCTGCCCACCATCTCGGGCAGGATGATCATGTCCCGCAGGTGCGTCTTCACCACCTCGGGCTTCTCCATCGGGGGCGCCTCCTTCTTGGCCTTGCGAGCCGCTTCAGCAGCAAGTGCTGCTTTCTGCGCAGACCCCGGTTCAGCCGCCGCCGCTGCCGAGCGCTGTACAGCTGCATCAGCTGCTCGTAGGACATGTCCAGCAGCTGGTCTAGGTCCACGCCGCGGTAGGGGAACTTGCGGAAGGTCCGCTTCTTTTTCTGCTCCACTTCCGCCATCTTGTCGGAGCCTCGGGAAAGGGCGCTTCTGAGAAAGACATCTTAAGTGGACTCGAACATCCAACCTCTTGATTAGTAGCAAAGCATGTTAACTCTTTAACACCCAGGAATTTCTTTTACTTCTTGGTGAAATAAAAATAATGAAAATTATCACAGCCATATTTCCATTGGGAGGCCCTACTTCATTCCCACCTAACTCTGCCTCATAGATCAATAATCATTTACATGCAAAAGTGAACACTGAAGGGTCTGATACCCAGTTTGTACTGCTCCACATTCTGCAGGGAACATAGTATTAGTGTGTCATGTTTCACAGTAATGTGAGTAAAAGTGACGAAAGCCAATTTCAAAGCAGACCATAAAGAAGGCTACAAAGGAGCAACATCATATATAGCAAATCGCAGACATTATTTCTCGACTAATGCTTATTAACAAAAAATGTAACATGGTTCTTAAGTTTTGCTATAGTTGTTATGAAATAAAATACTACAAAAAACCCACTGCTGGCCAATTTCAACACACAGTCATCCTCCATTGGTTCTTAGGAGGCTATAAATCTTAATAGGAGGAGACACTGTCCACTTTTCTTTTGAGGAGTAGGTGGTGGATTTGAATCGCTTATCTTTTCATTCACAACAGCACAATTCTTAATACATTAGGCCATGAGATCTCCTTAAAGAAGGAAGGTATGCTAGGCTTTAATTTAAAACGTTCATATTTACAAAATCTACAATATCTCAGAATCTGTGCATTATTTCAACAAAGCAGAGCCAGTTGGTGCCCCCTCAGTTCACTAGTCTACTTGACCCTGAAGTTTGCATGACTGCCAGATTACTAGAGTTGCTCTCCACAGAAAAGAGAATTCTAAGTTTCCTGACTGCTTAACCTTCAGGACACTGGCTAAATTCTGTTGTCCTTGTTTACTGTCCAAAATGTAAACTCTCTGTTCACTCATGCATTTGTTTTGTAACACAGTCTGAGCTGACTTACAGTTGACCCTCCCACAGGTTTTCAGAGGCTGAAATGACAAGGGAGGAGAATCCCCATCTTTCTCCTACAGAACAACTGATGGGTTCCAAATGCTTGCCTTTGGGTTGGGAGTGCAACTGTTTATCACTAGCCCACCAGTTCTCCCTCCTTTCAACCACTAGCGATCCCAAAAAATCTTTTCCAAAGTCCTAGTCCATAAACACTCTCCACAACAATTCAGGATCTACCTAAAACTCGGCTCTCTCCTGAAGAAACGACTTTCCACTCTAGACCCGAAGAAATTGCTGCTTCTTCAACACTATGAGCTTAAAATCATATTCGCCACCCGTTGCCATTGCAAGGCCATTTTTTCTACGTACATTTATAAAAATGTTCTGACTGAAGGTTCTGTCACTCCTCTTCCCTCTGATGTCAGTCATCATTACCTTGTCTCTAGCTCTGGCTCCTAGCCTTCTTCCAAACCTCAGCTCCGTCTGACCTCATTCTAGGCTGTTAGCACCCAAAGTGAGGGTCAGGATACAATCATGATCAAAGAGCTTGCTAGAAATGTTCATTCCGAGCCCTATCACAGGCCAGTGAATTAGAATCAGTATTTCAACCACTCCCAGGTGATTCATATGCACAGTAAATCTGACATTCTAATTCACTCGTCGATGACAGGGCTCAAGATGGACATTTCTAGCAAGCTCTCTGATAAAAACTGTGCACAAATTCATATTCACTTTAAAGTTTTACAAGTTCAACTACCTAGACAAGAAAGTCCTCAACTTATTACCAAAGAACTCTTCCATTTACACTTTGCCTCTTATGTCAAACAAACTCAGACACCTAGGAGCAGACTCATATCGTGCAAAGCAGTGCTTTAACCCGTGCACACTACGACTCCAGAGACTCCTCCCCAGGATTCCTCAAGGGCATTAGATCTCTCTCTTCCTATCTACCCAGTTTAAATCCATGAATAATTTTGCTAATGTCATACATTCTCTTGCTCTGCTGTTCTCCTGTACCATCTTGTATGACAAGATTAAGCCAAATCCCCCACTTAGGTGACTTTCTGCTTGCTCTAGAACAGCATTTAAATAACTGGGATCACTGGATAACCACTACCCAACTCTGGAGAGAAGTCACAGTCACCACCTTTACTTGGATCTTCAGCACTGCCAAGCAGTTTCTTCCTTTGGACAGGACAGTATTCAATCTTTCTCCACTCTCAAATCTCTGACTTACGTAAACGCTCCTCTCCCAGGGGGTTGGTGAACAAGAAACTTAGAATTCAGCTGCTTTCTTTGGGGAACAGTTCTAACAATATCTTAACGATCTTTACAAAGTAAAGAAGCAAAACCACGGTTCCCAGCTTCCACTACATCCCCCCACTAAACACACAGCCACATTTGTCCTATTAAAGCGGCATTTTCTCATCTGGGGTTCAGACCATTCCATTTGCCCTCTTAACAATCTGTGCTGGTTTTGCCTTCTCTCATCTTGTTCGAACTTCTCCTCCACTGAACTCTATTATATCAGTACTTCAACACACTTAAAACCCTCAAGCAGGCATTTTAGCACCTTTTCATGCTGTCACTTCGTTTTTCCATCTTTCTTTTACAACTTAAATGTCTTCAAATGGTGTGTATTCACTGTCCCCCTTTCCTCATTTCCTACACTTCCCTTAACCTGCTTTATTCCTGCCCCTTCACTCCACCAAAATGATTCTTGCTAAAGTCAAAGACACACAGAATCTTTCTGACCCTCTTGATTGAGTTTTTCAAGTAGTATCTGAGACTGTCAGCAACTCAAATTCTGACAGCTCAACTAAAAACCACTCAGAATCACTGCTGTTGAGTTGGTGATCCTCCACCAAATGGTTTCCAAGGCTGTGAAGTCTAACTGGAGGAGACTGCCCGTCTTTCTCTTTCGGAATCACTGGGAGATTTGAACCACTGGATATACAGCTTTTTGGTCAGTAGCTCAACACCCTCCAGACCGTGCCACCAGAGCGTTCGCACAGAACTCACTATTTTCTTCTACCTCTCTAATCATTCTTTATGTTCTTTTATGAACCTTCTTTCTCCTAACTTTGGAACTTGTAAGGCCTGTCGTAGGCTCCTTTCTGACATGAGATCTTATAAAATTTTAATGTGCATGTTAAATGCTGAAGTTTCTCCTTTCTGAGACTTGGTGAGATTTTATTTACTCCAATGACCTAACAGGCACTTCTAAACTCTCTCTGCATCTCTTCCTCCATTAAATACCGGACACCACCATCTCAATGTCTCTCAAGACAGAAATTTCACTCCTCCTTGCCATGGACCCAACAATGAATCAATGGCCAAGTCCTTTGCTAATAGATCCAAGTATTTATCAAATAATTATTTTCCTCATAGACCACCATTATCTCTTTAAAGGTTAAGTAACAGCACTATAGATGGTGCTTCTGCATCCGTAATAATTACATAACACGCTGTATTACTGTTATTTGCTGTTGAGTCACCTGTGACTCATAGTGACTCTATGTACAATAGCCTTAAACCCCGCTCTAATAGTCAATAGACTATTTAATGAGTTATTGAATTAAAAGGAAATGGAAAGCCATCTTTCTGTGGAATTAATAATATCCCTTTTAATAGTAATATTTTGATATATTTAAGATTTGATATTTTAAAGCACAAGAACTACCAAAGTATCATGAATATGAAATGTTCATCATAAAGACACACAAAATTATCATACAAAATGTAAATTAAATATACTTTATATAAAACAAGCAAGTATCTTCTCTAAAACTCTCATTGTACTGTAACAATTTTTCTTCCTAAAGAGAAATGAAAGAAAACGCCCATAAACTCCTACTTTTGTGCGGAGGAAGTGGTCTGGTAAGGTCTGGCTGAGCCTGAGTCACAGGCATGGGTGGTCCTTTTCCTCCAATATGATTGTTCACGACAGGATTCTGCTGTCTGCCTCTCAGCAGTGGAGACATGCACCTGCGTCTTTTGGGGATTCCTTGCATATTTGGTTCTCCTGGTCGTTTATGTTTATTTTGAGGTCCAGCCACGAATTCGTCTGCTTCATCTATCATCATACCCTGTAACAAAAAAAAAAAACAAAAAACAACCCAACACATATATAACTTCCCTAAATTTACAGGCATTTTTTTAATTTGCAAGGCTAATTCCAATTAAAACAACTGTATTATAGATATGTTGCCATTTATTAGTTACTCGGCAAGGAAAAAACCTCAGAGTACTTTAGCTAATCTAAAAATTGTTATTATCTTGCTAAATCCCAAGAACCTAGCAAAATACTTGGAGTATTTGTTAAATAAATGAGTGATCAGTTAAAAGTGTAACTTTATTTTATGAGGAAAAAATCATCATAAATCACATTAAGATTACTTAACTGAGATTCTAACTTATTGTACAATAACATTAAAGGGTTTGAAAACTTTAGAAAACACACTATTGAACAAGGCAAAAAGTCTCTGGGAGTTGAGTCACACAAGCCAGCATACCTGGTACAAGATTTCCCATTAACGCGAAAATTGAGAGAAAAGTTAGAATTGACTAAATTTTTTTTAAAATGAAGCAAAAAAAGAAAAATGAGGCAAGAGTTTACTGTGAATTTTACCCTCTCAAGACTCCTTTTACAAATGAAAAGATGACAGTATCATGTAAGGAAGAATATTTAAGTTGTAAATAAAGAGGGAAATATATACCCCTTGTTGCTGTGAGGCTGAGCCTTGTGCCATTGGGGTATCAAATGCTATAATGGTTACCCACGGTGCACAGTGTTGGTGGAGCTCCCAGTTGAAGACAGGTTCGGATGCAGGGGTGACATCCACTTCCTAAACCACATGCCTCTGGAAACTGTATGAACGATAGTTCATACTAAATGACGACAGTTACAGAAAGGCTTCAAGCCTTTTGTTCATAGGGTTGCTCGATTTGATGGCAATAAACAACAACATATGCCCCTTTACCCCCACATAATACTGGTTACATAATTTAAGAAAGGACACTATTTTTTTAAATAAATCAAAGAGTATTTTAGTCAAGGAGAAACTGATACAAACTGTTATTATCTACTAGCCTAGCAAAAGAATTATTTAGTGGAACACTTTAAAATTACCTTCTTATCCAGCTTAAATGGGTTACCAAACGTATGCAACCTCCGAGGCTGGTCAGGATCAAGTTCTCTTAGTGGAGAAGGTACTTGCTTGAGGTACTCCTGGTAATTCCCCATTTGTGCTATAGGAACACTGTGTACTTGATCTTTTGTAAGACAGAACAGAACAACAAAAGTAAGCTTCACTAAAACCATACTCATCTCCTTATCAAATAATGTCTTCTCTCTATTAACACAATCTAGTGCTTTTCTAAGCAGTCTTCCCTTAGTATATATTAGAAATCAGTCTGCTACAATTATAAATATGTATTATATAATCTTTACATTTTAAAAATTAAATTCAAAATAATGATTTCACTTCCTAAACAAAAGACTGTAGCTCATTTCAGTACATAAACATATGTAGCCTTACCAGAAAAAGGTATGTGTCTTCTACTTTGTCCCAGGGAAAACAATTATTTATTGAATTACTGAAGAATTTACAGAAGAGAAAAGCCCATAAATAACCCTTTTTCTATGAGGCTGTCATTGAAACGCTTAAGTCATATGGCAAAGGGTTACATTCTCAACCGGTTTGTGAAGTAGATGTGAGAAGTACAAGTGAAGGAAACACAGAACATGCAATAGTCAAGTTCACCAAATACACCATCAACTGCGTGAGGAATCAATCGGTCTTGAAGTACAGCCTGAAAGCTCCTTAAAAGTGAAGATGGTATTCACCCAACTTTGGGCATATAATGAAAAGGAATAAATTTCTAGAAAAATGTATCATCCTTAGTAAAGCTAGGGGTCAATAAAAAGAAGAAAAGTTCTGTATGAACAGATTGAGTCAGTGGCTACAATAACAGGCTCCAAAGCAGTAACGAGTAATGATGACAGCACAGGAGCGGCAGGTTCTGTTGTCCTTAGGATGACTGTGAGTTAGAACTCATTGGATGGCACCTAAAAGCAGGTACTGGCCATGCAGAGTTAACCCACAAATGCAGCGTATGAAGATGGTTTATAAACTCAAGCATGTAAACAGAAGAGGAAAGATACAAAGCAAATGTTTACCTCTGGGACTGTAATCTGGGCAAAGAGTGATGGTAAAGAAAGTGGCAGAGTAACACAAATGTTTTACAGAGTTGTTATCCTATTACAGTTATTCTTTAAGTTGTAATTACTACACCATATTTTTATCCATACTGCTAAGGCAAAAAACACACAAACAAAAACAACCCCCCCCCCACAAACATATTAACACCATTCTCTAACCTTCATCCTGTCCTTTAAGAAATTTGCGGGTGCTCTTCAAAAGATTGGATCTCATTCTTGTTAAGTGATCCAAAAGATTCCGTCTTGGTATGTCGTAAGCATTTCTAAATGTCTGTGGTTTCAAATCCTATTGTTAAAACATTTAAAAATAAAAGTAGTTTTCAAGTGCAAATCTTTAGCTTGGAATAAAGTTTTAGAAATATGATATACAACTTATCTGGGAAAGAAAATGCAACAGCCTACAAAAAGAATTTATAAATTTTAAAGATGTTTAAGATTTTTAAATACACCTTTATGGTACATTTTAAAGAGGAAAACAAGGTATACAATTTGAAGGGAGTTAGTAAATTTATAGTTGCAGAACAATCATCACAATCTAGGTTTATAACATTTTGTCACCCCAGGAAATTCTTTGTGGTCATCTTTCACTCCTCACTTCCATCCCAACCAGTTATATGCTTTTATTATCTCTATATTCTATTTTATTAATAGTATCTTATAAATATAGCTTTTGTATCTGGCCTTTTCAGTTAATGTTTTTATCATTCAACCAAGCTACTAAAATAATATTAATAGTTTGTTCCTTTTTTATTACCGAGCAATACTCCACTACAGATAAGCTACATCTTCTTTAATAATCATCAACTGAGAAAAAGTTGGACTTCTTTCTTTTCGAAGCTGTTATGCATAATACTGCTCTGAGCATGGTATAAGCCTACATATGGACATATTTTCCTTTTTCTTGTGTAGACACCAACAAATTGTTATTGTGGCAGGATGGCAAAGGCATGCTTAACTATTTAAGAAACTACAACCATTCATTCCCCACCGACAAGGCCTAAGAGTTCCATCTACTCACATCCTAACATTTGATTCTTTCCTCCTCCAAGCTTTTAAAGTTTTAGCTGCTCAAGCAAGTATGAAGCAGTATCTCACCATGATTTTAACTTGTATTTCTCAAACGGCTAATAATGTTGGGGATTTTTTCATTTTTCTATGTTATGCCAGAAAGTTATAATAGCCTAGTTGCAAGGAGCTGATGTTACCAACACAAAGGCACTTGGTTCAAATCCTCCAGCTGTGATGCACGAGAAAGATGGGCAATTTCCTGCCATGCAAGTAACAGTATCTGAAAACCTGCTGGAGAGTCAGCAATGAATTGGTTCGTTCTTGACTTCACGTAACAATTAACAAAGGGCAACTTCTCTTTCATTCAAGGGAGTTCTGGTGACCTAGTGTTAAGGAGTTGCCCTGTCAACCTAAAGACATGGAGTTTGAATCCACCAGCTGCTCTGTGGGAGAAGGTTGTCAAGCTCCTCTTTTGTTATTTACTGTCTCTAAAAACCAGCTGAAAGGTCAGCTGTGAATTGGTTCTAACTCCATGGCATACAACAACAACATGTGCTGTCTATTTTGAGGAGAGTCTTTTGTTAGGAGGGGCTGATCCTTGGAAAAGGACATCACACTTGGCAAAGTATAGGGTCAGCACCAGAGAGAAGACTGAGATGGATTGATATGGTGACTTTAACAATGGACTTGAGTATAACAGTGAGGAGGAGGAGGCACAGGATAGGGCAAGATTCAGATCCACTGTTCTCAGGGTTGCAACTAGCCCCTAACAACACACATTATCTTTGGTGATTTGTCTATTTCATTAACTCAGTCATTTTTTTAAAAAAGTGAGCTGTCTTAGATACGAACAGACACTTCACCAAAGAAGACATTCAGATGGTGAACAAACACATGAAGAAATGTTCAAAATCCCTATCTCTAAGAAAGATGCACATCAAAATAACTATGAGATAGCATCTCACCCCAGTAACAATAGTAAAATTCAACAGAGCAGCAAACAACAAATGCTGGCAAGGTTGTGGAGAAACTGGGACCCTTATTCACTGTTGGTGGGAGTGTAAAAAGGTGCAACCTCTATGGAAGATAGTATGGCACTTTCTCAAAAAGTTGAAAATAGAAATACTATTTGACACAGCAATTCCACTACTGGGAATATACCCTAAAGAAACCAGAATTGCCACCCAAGCAGATATATGCTCTGCTCATCCACGTTTACTGCAACTTTGTTCATAATAGCAAAGAGCTGGAAACAACCCAAGTGCCCATCAACAAATGAATGGATAGAGAAACTGGTATATTCACACACTAGAATATTATGCAGCATTGAAATGCAAAGAACTCATGAAATACTATACAAAATAGGTGAGCATGGAGTACATTATGTTGAATGAAATATCTCAGACACAAAAGGACAAATACTGCACAATGTCACTGTTATATAACAGGACTGACATGGGAGTTTGGGGAAAACTAAGAAAAAGAGGAGATAAATAATGCACATGGCACTGAAACAGACAAGGGAGAGAACTGTATAAAAGGAATATATGATTAGGTATTCTTGGCATGAGAAGAGTCCAGAATAAGAGATGCATAGTAAAAAGGGGGGAGGGGGAAATGTATAACGATGAAAGAACTTTTTTCCCCCAAAGAAAAAAAGCAAACTGGAGAGGAGGAGAGCAGGGAGGAAAATGTGCAACAATGAATGAATGGAAATTTAAATTCTTTATAAACTTTCATTAAAACCTTAATTTTTAAAAAAGTGGGCTGTCTTTTATTACTGGGTGGCATGAGTTCTTTACATATTGTGATATCAAGTCTTTTACTAATTTTCTTCTACCTTGTCCTCTTCTTTGGAAAAGAAGTTTACTTTTTTTTTTAACTTGTGCTTTTTGTATTATGGTTTATAAATCTTTGCTATTCTAATCACAAAATTTTCTCCTATGTTTTATACTTTGAGTTTTTCCATTTAAGTCCATGATTATACCTCAAGTATAACACTATGTCTATCTAGCACCATTTGTTGAAAAGTTTGTCATTTGCCAATTGAATTGTTTTGGCACCAGTTAGAAATTAGACAATGTGTGAAAGACCAGTTCTACTTTCTATTCTGTTGTAATAAACTCTATGCTCATCCTTCTATCAGTACCATAAGGTGTTGATCGTTGTAACTTTATAGTATGTTTTGAAACCAGGCAGTGTAAGCTCTCCAATTTTATTCTTCTTTTCCAAAACTGCTGTGGCTCTCTAGGGTCTTTATATTTATATATAAGTTTTAGAACCCAACTTGTCACTTCTTTTAACAAGCCTGCTGAGACTAGTATGTTTCTAATAATGAGTCTTAGTAGGATACATTAGGATAAGAACATGCTGTACCCAAGGTCATCAGTATCAGAGTATCAAAGTACAGTGAAATCGTGATTATGCAACTTCAAGAAAATATCTAAGCCTCTGCTTTCTCATTCATAAAATGAACAAGCTAGTGTACTCTTCACCAACCTACCTTACTGTTCATTTACCAAATAGACTGCTTGTTTATATTCTAAAGTTAACTGATTCAGTGGTGGCATAATGATTATTATACGGCAGAGATAGAGGTAATTCTTAAAATACTGAGTAACAAAATGCCAGGTAATAGAATTCACAGCACAACAGACCTTTACTACAATAGTACTAAATTCAGGGGAGCTCTGGTGGCCTAGTGGCAAGAAGCTGCACTGCAATCCCAGAGGCGCATGGTTCAAATCCACCAGATGCTCTGCCGGGAAAGGAGGGACAATCTCCTCCTGTACCAGTCAGATCTGATCTGACAGTACACAGATACACACACACAAAAATAATAATAAAATAAAAAAAAAATAGTACTAAATTCATGTAGGTATTACCTTATTCAGCAAAGCAACTTGGAACCCAGTATATTCCTTCATATTAAGGTCTAGCAGTCTGTGAGGAACATCGTCTGAGATTCCCTGGAGCAACTGTTGAAAATCTTTCCTATACGCCATTGATATACCATGTGATCGGCTTCGGACTTTAATGCCGGTTTCCTGTACTACCTTTTTGCCTACGGATCCAATAACTCGATCAGATTCTATTTTGGCCTAAATTAAAAATAAAGAACAGTTACCTTAATATAATTTCAACTGTTAAATCAGACACTGTTAGTTATGATCCTCTAGAAAAGCTAAATATATAATAAAGAGAAGCTTGAAGATATTAAAAACTCTAGCAGCACAGTTTATATCAAGTAATCAGAAGCAAACATTTTTAAACAACAATGCCTAGTGACTTTAAAATCATAACAAATCTAAACTTTTAAACAGGTGAAACAAACAACTTCAATTTGTTGTTTTATTTATTTAAATTACTACCTTTGCAATCACTTGCTATGTATCAGAGGACTGGACAATGACTAGGAATGA